CCCCAAAACCCCAAAACCCCAAAACCCCAAAACCCCAAAACCCCAACTAGAGCATTCAGATTGAATTTATTGATAAGCTGTTTTAATTCCTTAAAGAAAACCCACCCCTCTTTACTCAATGATTAATACTTCTGCTGGTGAATCAATTAGTTCTGTTCAAGCTTGCTCTTTCCAAGGACAGAGTTGGAAGAGAGTCCCTTAGAGGAATCGCTCATATTTTTGGGGCTGTGAAAAACCTTCCTCTTGAACTTGGCAAAATCTAAGAACTTTGGCTTCCTTAAGACCAAATCTTGCTTCTTACTCATTGGTGAAGATATTTCTGTTGTGAAACCTATCGGCGATCCGAGTCGGCTCTAATTTTTAGAAGAAAAAGTACAGATAATGCCTCGTTTCTTTTCTCAGTTCTAGAAAATATATCAGAAATTATTCCTACTTTGTATAAGGGTTGAATTTTCTAGTTGTATAGAACCTTCCAGTGCTCCTCTTTGGTCACATTGGAGCTGTTTTTCTGTTATTCTTGATTTTTGAGGCTAAAATGTGTACAAAAATTTACATATCAAAGCCTTGAATTTAGGACTGACACCAGTTTCTATAATCTTATTCTTCTTAGCAAATGTAGTCTTGATCATTTTAGGCAAATTCACATTACGTGACTTGCTGCCTTTAGGAGTAATTCCATAGTTCTCCCCCTTCCTAGTGTCTACTCTTGTAAGATATTTTGGTTTTGAACTAAGCAAGCCCGTGATTCTTTTGATTTCTCTCTACAAGATCATCAAAGAGGCTACCTTCTTCTTATTCGCATTGAATACATTAGAGTTAGCATAATTAACCTTCTTTTGATGCTTCTCGATTGATTTTTGAAAGCCTGATTTAGGAGTAATTTTCTCTGTCTTTTTACCACTCTTAGGCGAAGTCATTTGACTTGTTTCTATTGCTACAGAGGTTAAGATGGCAGTCTACCTTCTTTAGAAGTAGTGCTACTGCTGACGTCTGATGTAATGGAATCTTGTGATTTTAGAGAGATTTTATCCTTGTCCTCTTGCAATTTTTCAGGTAAATTATCAAAACGATTATTAAGCTTAGTGGTCGCTTCGTTGTAATTTATTTGGATATTGAAATTCTGACTTCTTCTTGTACCAGAATTCCAACTTGATCTTCTATTGATCTGTAAGCTCTTATGGGTGAGTTTATTTGTAAAATCTAACGAGTTTAGTCTTGACATCATAGATGCCTTGATATTGTCTAAAGTTTCGATCAGATATTAGGCTAACGAATTATAATGAATCAATAGAGTCTAGAAATCTTACTAATTTCTTCTAGTAGGAGTGAGTTATCCGACTCAGATCGAGCTCATGTAGCTTCTTTCTTTTCAGCTATCTTGGTAAGCTTTATTTCATTCTTTAGCTTTTTGATGTAACTGGTATTACTATTGGATTGTTTGGAATTTTTCATCTCAGCTATCTAAGCATGAAATCTATTAGAATACCTGAACAACTTTTTCGAGTCGTTCTACTCTTGCCCTCTGTTGACTTTTCTCAAATACTGTCTTGAGTAATTTTATTCCGGCTCCAGAAAGTCTTCGCATGCTCTTAATGTTCGGTTCTGGAGAGATTTGAAGGTTGGCTTTATCTTGGGTTTCACTCTTGTTTTCTAAAGTTTAGATGAAAGTTACTTTCAAATGATGATATGCTGGATATCTTACCAACTTTGATATTATATTGGTCCGATACGCTCAAGCTTTCATGATTTTCTGAAATGGAATCATTTTTTGAGAGTTTATCTAAATTTTAATTCTACTTCTTACCATCAAATTTTCCTATGAAGTTTTTGAAACCTTGTTCTTTATTGGAGTTTCTACAGAAATATTTACAATAAGATCATGCCAAATTTATTGTGTTAAACTCATACAAAATTCAGCTTAATGAATTCACAAATGCCTTAATATCACCGTACTCATTCTCAAGGACTATTTGAAAGCCGAGTTTCTTCTTAAGCGTCGGCCCTCCACAGGAGGTGCATTCTCAGGACTAAAAGTTAGCCAGGCTAGTACCTTTCTTCTGATATACTTATTGATATCCTTCTTCTCCACCATTTCTTTGAGCAGGTCGCCTTGAATGCTTGGACAAAAGTTTCCTGAGAGAGTTGGCTCGTCATTGATTCCAAGTAAGGGAGAATCCAAAATCTCATTTGCTATGAATTACAAGTGAAACTTTACTATTTTGGTAATTTCTTGATGATGCATGAGTGAATTCTCCCGAAGAAAATGAGACTATTCTGTTGAAATTTGATATGCTATTATGTTAGCTTTGCTTTGTTACTTGGGAACAGCCTTTTTGCTCATATTTTGATACTTTGAGAGCTTCTTTTCAGAGATTGGAATTTGAACATGCGAGTCTTGTACTTTCCCTTTAAAATTATAAATAGGTCTATGCAAGCTATAGAGTTTAATCTTAAGCCTCACGAATCTTTGATCTGAGCTATTTGAGGATGCTTTGGGGCCTCTGAATCTAATCTTTGTGACAACAGCAAGTTGTAATTTTTAGATATCGTGTTTCTTCTAGTAGAACGTCTTCTCCTCATCTGAGAGGGAGAAATAGCACTATCTGAGCTTCCTTCAGAAGAAGAGTTATTATTCTTTATGTACATATGTAACCTTGAGCTCATTCTTTTAGGAGCTAAAGTTTGGATATTTAGCAAACTTGCTTACATCCTGTGTTCAGATTTCTTGACTCTGATATGTTTTTGAAGAGGCTCAGTGGTGGTCTCCCTTTTGGTTTTCTAGAATTAGCAACAGTTAGATTCTTGTGGTACTATTTCAAATTTTAGGACATTAAAATTTGAGGTTATTGAGCCTGTTTAGGATTTATTACCTTAATTTTCTTTTAGGATTTTATGCTTTTTGACATGTAGGTATTTTTAATCTGGATAGTAAGAAAATTACAACAAATATACCTTGATATAATCTTTGACTGCAAGATTTCCTTTTTTATAATTTTCCCAGAAGAAATTAGACTTTCTTTCTATATAAAATTTACAGTGATAACCGTCATTCCATAAAAATGTTAAAAAATAAACTTCAAACTGATGTAATTCCAAAAATCAAAAAGCCCCTAGGTTCAAAATCTTACTTCAAACCCAATAAACCCCTCTAAAACCCTATATCTCTTGATCTAACTATCTCTTCACTCAATAACCCTCATTACTTACTCTTTAAATCATCTCTATTCCTCATCCTCGACGGACTAACCCCCCATTTCATCTCCATCAACTCCGAATCATGTCCTGTCCTCAGCATCTTATTAACATTATTCGGCTTTAGCTTAATATTAATTTTATTTCTTCCCTTGCGTCCTTTCTTCTTCAACTTCCTTATTCAACTGTCTCATCTGCTTCTTTACTTCCTCTCTATAACAGTATTATACCTCATCACACTAAATTTTTAAGTCGGATTGCCAAATGGGATAATTCTGGGTAGCAGATATAAACTATGCTGAGTGAAACCCCTCTTACAGGCTAGATTGGACCTGGAATAGCATCCTGATGTCCTTCATAGTGTCAGCCCTATACTTGTAAGTGGATAGGAAGGCCTACTTGACCATTTGCTTTAACTTATGTGACTCCATGTTCGTGATGAGAAAGAAATTATAATAAAAACAATAAGTTACCCACCTTCTGGGGTTTTGGGGTTTTGGGGTTTTGGGG